CACTGGGTGCTGGGAGTCCATTAATATGGACTTTTTATTGGCCTACCGAAAGACTCGCATGGCAACACAGGTATAGTGGTCTTTGTTGACCGTTTGAGCAAGATGACTCATTTAGCGGCTGTGCCAGACTCTATCGATGGTGTGGGTACAGTGGAGCTGTTTTTTGATCGAGTATTTCGCCAACATGGCTTGCCAGTGGCAATTGTTTCTGATCGTGATCCTCGTTTTACGAGTATTTTTTTGGAAGTCCGTCTTTCAGGTGCTGAGCACCCGTTTGTACATGTCCACAGCGGATCATCCGCAGACCGATGGTCAAACTGAACGCGTAAATAGCGTTGTTGAAGATATCCTCCGCAGCGTTTGTGCTGAAACGCCTAAGCGATGGAGCGCTATGCTCCCTGTAGTTGAGTTTACACTCAATGACTCCGTGCACGCCTCTACCGGCTACACTCCATTTTATGTCAATGGCCTCACACACACACACGCGTTCCGTTAACGCTACCACCGAGTGATTCAGGGCTTGGTGGGGGAGAGGTTGCCGATCGGCTTGCTGATGTCAGACCTAATACTGTTAAGAAACAGGTAAATGCGTTTCTCGCAACGCGACTAAATGTCTTATGACATGTGCAAGATGCAATGGCTGATAGTCAAGATAAACAAAAAGAATATGCGGATGCTAAAGGCAGAAGTTTTATTAATATTATGAGGTCGGAGACCAAGTCTTACTTAATGCTAAAAATCTACCTACCAATGTAGTATCTGCTGTTTTTAAGACGAAGTTGTGCCCGCGCTTTATTGGACCCTTTACGGTCATTGCCAAGAAAGGCCTAGTGTGTACGCTTAATTTGCCGCGCAAATTGAGTACACATCCCGTGTTCTACGTCGGCATGCTCAACCCATATCGTGATCCGTCCCAAGTGAACACTAAGGCGCTCGCGCCGAGCCCATTGGCATTGTCGCGGGACAAGCATTTGGACCGAAAGGTCAAGCTGACCCTCCACTCGGGTTCGACTCTGTTCCAGCGACTCGAGGCGGAAATTCATCGACTGCACAGTCTCATGGAGAGACTGCACCTCTTGAAGAAGCTCGGCATGAGCTTGTGCCGGTACACCGGCCTCCTCCGGTTTTGCTTGATGGACAGGGGAACCTTCAGTTCCATGCTGAACGTCTTCTGTGGAAGCGTCGCCGCCATGGTCAAAACCAGCATCTGGTGAAGTGGCGGGGATATCCCAAGTCTTGGAATTCATGGGAGTTCGAGGTTCCCCTTAGGCAGGATTGCCCATACGCCGTGGACGTTTTTGAGCGTCGTGCGCAGTGCCAGTCTGTTGGCGGTGACGCTTCTCACTAGTAGTGGTGGGGGTAGGCGAGTTAGCGGCCTCGGCCTGTCGTGGAATCACGGCTACAGGTATAGCCGAAACATTGGGGTGCTGGGTAGCAGACGCATAATGCGTTCGTTGGGATTTCAATTTTCCCCGGGCCTTCAATTTAGCGTATCGTAACGCATCTTCCGTTCAAGACGAACATCTGCCACATCGACACTTGCCCGTAGGGCCCACATGCTGCTTAAACGTCGCGCATAATGCGCCCAGCGGCTAAAAGCCGTGTCTTCTTCTTCCTCGGATTCCCCCGCGAACAGAAGGATAGGAACGCCCTTTATGGGAGGAACTGGTGCACCGCGCACTTACCTAGTGAGGCGTGACAAGTATTGGCTTTGCGTAGCGATATGGGGTCCAGATAGCATTGTCAAAGAGCCGTTCGCATAGCGACATCCTCGGGTGAAATGGCCTCAGGCTCAATAAATTAGCCAGAGAGGGAATGACCAGATGCCTCCTTAAGGCGTTCTTCTAATGTAGGTGGCTTGAACTTATTTTGTTGGTGGCCCTGACGCCTAGCCACATTCTTCGTCCGGCGCTTGGCGCCTTCCTCTTGGTCGATGGTCTGCTGTTGCTGATCGTCGAGTGGGTTGGTAACCGTCACCGTTGATGATACGTCAGGCGGGTCGCGTAAATGTGTTAGTGCACCTACAGCACCACGTTCAGGGAATGGATTCGGTGCATGACTACTGTCATCTTCACCCGTAAGGGTGGTTAAAGGGGACCCATCGGGTCCCACAAAGACGGTGTCACTTTCGTAATTAATCGCTTCGTCAAGGTCGCCTTCAGTGAGGTCCTGTAAAGTCTGTGACTCATTGCCAGGAGGCATCATATGTGTGCCGTGAACAAACCGTAAGGTTTAAACGTTCGCTAAAGCGCTACCTCAAAGAGAAAAGATGTCGAATGACATTCTATGGGAACGTCAGTCTGGTGGGGGAGAGTGTAACGGGGTTATACGACGGTTGTAACATCAATCCGAAAGTTTACTGTTGAAGTTTCTATATCGCATATAATGTATTCTTGATACTTCTCTTTAAAAAAATATAAATTATGAGCGTTAAGATACGGTATTCGGTAATACCGTATCTTATCGATTAGAATTCGATAATCGATAACGCTGTACTAAGTACATCATACACAGATGTTTAGACGATACGTCGTCCAATGCAAAGTCTGCATATAATAATTACTATTCTAGTAATTAATCTACTTAGAGTGTGACTATCCATAAAAACTTAATGCATAATTAAAACCAGTTTTCATTTTGAGTGAAAGATCGCAAGTCTCTGTGACTTGTTCTCTTGTGCACTTCGTGCGTTGGTTCATTGAACCTTAGAGCGTCTAGCTTGTTCTTGCACTCTGTGCGTTGGTGATTTGAACGTTAAGCTATTGCTTATAGACTAGAAGCCTCTCCTAGTTCCTTTAAAACAGGGTGACTTTTTAGTCGTTTAATCGGTTCCTTAGAACTAAGTGGCTCTAGCTGTCAACCTTTTAATTAGTTCTATAGAAATAGGAGGATTTCAGCCTAAAATTCTTGCTCTCACTTAAGAGCTGTGTAGCTCCGCTACAAACACACTGTTAGGCACTTATACCGGTATCTCGATACATTAAAGGAACGAAGACGCACTGCACTAAATTTCAAGCAAGTGGTACAAGGCTACTCGGATGCGGACTGGGCCAGCGAAAATTAAGTCAAGACGGAGCACAAAGGGTACACGTTCATGATGAACGATGAATGCATTAGTTTATGAAGCAAAACGAAAAGAACTGTCGCGCCATCATCAACAGAAGCAGAATACATGGCACTTGCAGAAGCTCCGCAGGAGTATGTGTGGCTCAAAGCATTCTTGTGCGATCGACGCCACCACCTTGTTCCTTGCACTTCTAGTCTTCATTCAACCGTCGAGACGTCACGAGTTCCCACGTCAGCGTGTCGGCAGGTGACTCCAACGCCGTAATAAGAAACTGGTACGACTCATTTAGGCTGCCAAGAAGCGTGATCACCAAGTCACTAACCGAAGTACGACCGCGTCGTGATGCTTGCCAGAGACTAGAGCTTGTTAATGTGCTCCCACACATCATCACATCCATCCATTATCGTTGTGAATAAACGTCGACAAAGAAAGCTTGTTTGCCAGGCTCCTCATTTCAAAACGGTCTTCCAACTTCGCCCATGCATTAAATGCAAGAAAACCAACAGCAGCTACAAATCTTCCATTCCCAGGCAGATGACAGCCATCGCCTTGCGCGATTTTCGATTGAATGTCGCTTGGTCCGACAAAATCAGGCTTTGCTCGATCTTGACATCCCCGCACACGACATCCCACAGATCCCGCTTCTCAAGATCTGTGGTATGTGTCTTGACAATACGTACGACACCATCCTAGTGTCGTCTTCGATGAGTTGCGTCACACCACATTGCTCCACAACTAGCAACCAGTGGACAATCTTGTGTGGTGCAGTTCCATCGATCTTTGGAGGGCTTTCAAATGGCCTCGGCTGGTTTGACTAAGCAGAAAGCGTCTCAACAGTCCTGTCAAGAGCCCCGTTCCGAGCTTGCTCACGCAGAAGCTTATCCTGATTCTTACTGATGGACTCAGCCGTGCTGTGATAAGGTTGTCGTTTACCGCGAGGGCTCGTGTAACAGATGTCGTTTGCCGAAGCGATTTATTCAACGAGCTTCGAACAAACGCTAGACTTTATCGCGGAAGCTGTAAGTAGTAGTGCGTGATAGGTTAAAAGTAAAAGAGTGATAGGTATATTCTAATAGAAATAACTATATACAAATTTAATTACTGATTCGTCATATATGTATTGACTGGATGCGCAACTCTTTGGATGCGCAACTCTTTGGATGCGCAACTCTTTGGATGCGCATCCCTACGTGGTGAGCCTAAATATATTCCAGCTCGCTAGTGATGTCCATCAGTGACGTCATGCCCATTAATGTGAATACCTTAATGGATATTACATACACGATGGGGATTAATATGCCTTACCCAAGTGACAAGTTTAAAGTACTCACGTACCTTCTTAGACCTCCCCGTTAAGTATGCAATACTTGATGGGTACGTGTAACTATAAGCCTGTTACACCAGGTCAGGGCTTCGAGTATGTACATAAATAAAGCTTCTGTAGAGATTGGTTAAGATGTGTAAGCGAAAAATTGTTTGCTAGTTTACAAATAAAGGTTTTGCATACAGCCCTCTCCCTATGCAAAATCTTCGTTTGTGAACTTAGCCAGAGTTCGGTTGATAAATTGGAAGAATTTGGGCTGCTGAAGGAGAATTACAGGGTAGCTTCTTAACCTAGGCCGGAGGAGGAAGCATAGGTGTGGATGGTGCGCTTGAGGGGTCTTCACCTCGCTAACCACTTGGAAATAGACTCAAATCAACCCTGATGTTGATTGCCTTATCGACAAGAGCACTTTGTCCTAATTGACATTATCCAGTAATTCTTGAATTGGAAGCTTCCATGATTACATGCTGCCTCAACCGAAAGAGATTGTTGTCGATTCGCATCATTAGTAATATAGTAGGCTCTCAATATTGTCTGTATATGCATTCCGGGGAGTTTGAGTACATTGAAGATCTAATGACTTACAACGGTCCGAGAACAACATGCAATCTACCTGAGCTCAACACCAAGATCTTTCACCATTTTATCGCGGACAATCTCCTACATCAACATCAAGAGACCAATGAGATTATCGCACACTGTCCTTGTACGTTGCTAATGCAAGATCATACCTGAATGTCGTCAACCTCGCTATTTGTAAGGTTGCGGTCCATGTGACGGTACGTGATGCGATAACACTTGCTCTGACGTTGAGTCTTCGGGTGCGTAAACTCATCCACGACAGCCACCTGCAGTAACAAACAAAAGCTCATTAGCACCAAGAAAGTTACATTGACTCATTTGAGTGGTGATGGAGCGTGCGTACTTGCTCAACCATGTCGCCAGCAATGTCGCGCACAACTTCGCACAGGTTATTCTCGTGGAAATCGTCATTATGCCAGAAGCTAACGTCCTTAAAGCAAGCAGGGTACTTGCTGTACGGCTTGAACCTGGTAATATGGTCGTCTCTGAACTGCGAAAGAAAGCGCTTGTCTTGGGACCAGAAGAGACGGATATCCGGGATATCGAAGAGCACCATGGCAAGGCGCTCGAGGCCAAGACCAAATGCCCAGCCAACGTCCTCGCCCAGTCCAGCGTTGCGTACAATCTCCTGCTGCAAAACCCCACAGCCGAGCACCTCCAGCCAGTCACCATTGAAGAAAATCTCCAGCTCAAGTGATGGCTCCGTGAAAGGAAAGTATGCTTCCACCCACCGCATCTCCACATCCCCAAAAAGCTCCTTTGTCATCCCTTCTAACGTTTTCTTCAGTTCTTCTTTCACATGCGCCACCTTCTCCTCACGTGGTGTTTCTGCATCAAGCTCTGAAAAGATCCGTACGCCCTCCATCTGATGGAACACCGGGTAGTGACTCGCATCAATCTCATCGCGACGGTAGACGTCGCCCGTGATCAAAAACGACGTAAACCCTTTCTTCATCGTTGCTACTTCGTGTGCACTAGTGTGTGCACGTAATACGCGGTCTCTATCCACGTAGTACGTATCCGTGATCTTGCGGCTGATGTGGTCTTTGGGCACGAGCATCGAGTCGAAGCAGTCGTACGTTGTCACCACCGGGTCCAGATCATCAAATACAGTGAACACGGGAGCTCTGCATTACCATCCACATCACCAAAAGAGTTCAATAAAGTTAGAGGCATTCTAGCTTTTAAGAGCCTTTCGAGTACAATGACGTACCCCTTGCTTCGGTGCAGCCATTCAAAGTAGTTTTCGACCTTTTTCTTTATAATATACAGCGGATGATTCGGCTGTCGATGTAGATTGACACCAATTTTGGCGGCTATGGATTCGCCGACATTGCAATACGGATCGCGATTTTTTATCCACTCGAGTTCTAAATCGTCATTTTTTAAGGAAATGAGCATGATGTTTATTTTATAGAGAGCAAGAAATAAATCGCACCGGTAGCACTGGTGGATAACAAACAGTTATGATCGTGTAGTAAAACACTACGGCGTTTGTTTGTCGTGATGCATTGGGCATTGAAACCTCGGGCTGCTCGGCGCATCATTGTGGACGAACGCTTTAATTTGCAGCGATAAACGCCTCTGAAATGTGGTATACATAATATCCAATGTTTAACTGTATTTTATCCCAAAATATATCCAAGAGGTTTTTTACCACAACATTTTCGTCATATTAGTTTTTCAGAATATATTGTTGATAGTCTCAAATCGAAATAAATTTAAAGCATCGTAAGGCTATGTCTGATAATCTTCGTTTGCATGATTTTGGACCGGATAACATGCTATTGGAGCCGTTCTATTGTCCGTTTGGGCGTCGAAATTGTTGCCAGCGCACTACAAGTTGGCATTTTTCAGAATGTATCATAACATCTACAAGAGAACGAGTTCTAGACTTTTTGCTTTGCTGCTGCAGACTCTTGATGCATTTTGCATCGCTGAGAAAAGAGTGCAAGTCATCGTACGACCATGTCCGAATCCCATCCAATGCGAGCACTAACACGATGGTACGTTTGTCCTGCCTCTTACTGCTGCTGTTGTTCAAGTACTAGCTTGTTCAGTCTTGTATCATCGCCCTTTGCACGGTCTACAATGTAGACCGAGATCTCTTGCAACAATGTCCTTATGCGACAGGTCTACTACTGTCGGCAGCTAACGCCATAGCTGCATGTGAAATCTCCAAGTAAACGTGTAAATGCCAGCGCGTCTGGAAACAACAAGTGAGCGGCGTAGTATGTACGGTCGCCAATTTGTCGCAGACAGTCGTGTAGTAGTCGTCTCTTCAAGTTTGTGGTGCAGATCAGTATTGCTAGCATTGCAGGATGTAATGGCCAAGGTCAGCCTCAATCGTCCGGGACCATCGGATTCGCGCTGCCTGCAACTGTCAACCCCAAGTGTCTTTCACCAGCTTTGTATCGATCCCGCCTGTCTACACTGCACTAAGCTTGGCCTTGATGTAGTGCAGCAGCACAGCGGCAGGGCGCATCTCAAACTCCTGTAGAGCTTCGTGGCTTAAGAGCACCTGGTCGCCATTGAGGCGGTTCAATAAGGTCACACACACCACGGCGACGGGGATATGGAGCTTGTGGCAGAAAGCGGCCATCCCGCGCGCCTCCATCTCGATGTTGCGGACGCCACCACCGGCCAACTTCTGCAGGAACACCATTTTATTCTCGAGCGTGTACTCGCAGATGGCGCCGTCCAGTCGGCCCTGTCCTTCGTAAAAGTCATTGCAGCTGAGTGTCTTGCCCACCACGTAGGGCAGTCCAACCTCTTCAGCCGCAATGATGATCTCGTCACGCACCTTAGGCGAGCATATAGACGGTCGAAGCTCAGTGGAGCCAAGCACAGCCACCTCGTCCACAGACTCCATCTTGTTGTTCACGCCCTCGGACGTGATGACGACGGTGCCGGGATCGACGCCAATGCCACCACTCGTGCCCATGCGAATATATGTAGCGTCGTGTGCGCCAGCGTACTCGAGCAACTTGGTGACCTCGTGTAATAGAATGGAGATGGACGGTATGCCAATACCATGATTTGCCACAAGCACAGGGCCCACTTTGTACAGCGTGTAGCGCGATGTACTGCCTATGGGGGACAGTGCGTAGCCGTACGGCGTGGTAATGCCCAGCACCATTGCCACTGAATGTGCAAAGTTGGTCATGCGCTCGGCACTGCCACCCGTGATAAAGAACTTGATGTCATTAAAGGTGTTGACCACCTCCTGACGCTTCTCCAGCGAACATGTGAGGCCGATGTGGAATAGCACATCCAAGTTCATCTCGCTAATGTGACTGTTTCGTACGTGCACCTGTGGGGCTGCTGAAAAATCGGTAGCGACTGTGTCCATGTATGGGCCCATTTTAACTTCAAGGTGTGAACCTGATGGAGCTTGGCTTGAATTTTAGTGGAGATATCGGATACTCGAACTTGATTGACAGCGCATCTTATGCATTATGTGACAGGCGCGCGTAAACAGCACGGCACCTTACTGCGTTTAGAATGATTGAGCTGAAATGACGGTGTTATAGTCAGAAGTAAAACAGCTGTAGCAATGCATGCCAAACGAGTTTACCTCTGTACAATCAATGCATTCACGCACAATAACAGCGAGAGTAGTTGATGCAATGCGTAGTTAGCATCGCTGCGCCACTATGAATGAAAAGAGGTAATGAGGCGCCAATAACTGTACATTGCGATCATGAGCCAAGATCCGGCGCCTCCTACTTGTTCCAATGGCACTTACTCGCCAACATTTTCGTACATGGCCATAGCCTCCGCCTCCAGTACACGCCCAAAGGACTTGAGTGCGTGTTAAACTTTCACCAAGCGACTCGCCAGCACCATGAATGGATCGTCCAGTGCTCGATCCTCCCAATAACCGTACTCGCTCTTCTCGACATGACTCATGTCAATGTCTGCGAGGTGGTCAAGTCCTGAGCTTAGACTTACACCCACTGCGACTAATGTTCCTAGCTGAAAGGCCCACCAAAATTCCTCCAAACTGTAGACCAAGTAGGTCGTCGACAGCGCCCAGCAGAGCAACTCAAATAGGGATCGGAAGCCGTGGTCCTGCCAGTTCTGTCCTGCCTTTGTGAACCGCAACTGCAGAGTCAATCCTACACGTCGCGTCGGCAGCAAGAGAGAGAAGAACTCGGCCATAACCACGAAAGCCACTCCCGTGCACGCCGTCAGCAATGCAAAAAACTTTACGTCGTGGAAGTTCTCCCACAATGAGCGTTTCGCCACGACACCAAGGTAACCAAATACCAGATTCTTGATGAGCGTGATCTCCTGGCCGTCCGTCGGTGCCTTGCCATTCTTTGGCACGTCAAAGCCAAGCCGCTGCGGTAAATCTCCGCCTCCTGATTGATTGCGAATCATACGAGCCAAACCGCGCACGAGACGCAGCACAACTTCGTCGCATACCGACATCACAGCACCGACAAACGTACCGACTTCTAATGCAAAGAGCACGTCTCCATCGAGCAAGTAGGTCGCATACGTGACGCTGCTCCAGCAAACGATCTCTAGGAACGACTGCAATGTTTTCGTGGCCCAGTTAAAGCGCGCATCTGTAAATCTGCGCACGAGCGAAGCCGCGATCAGCAGCGCCATGTGGACGGGAGCGCTCCCACAACAAAACAGGATGGACTCGGACAGCGTATCGGTATTGGGCATGAAGTTGCAGTAAAACTCGCTATCATTCAGGATCGCTTGAGTGGCCTTTTCCCCAGGGTAAAGGACCTCATACTCGTTCTCTGAATCGCTGCTTTTTGCCATCTATAGCAAGACAGAAGTACAAAATAGCACGGAAAAATTGAAATAAGTGTACAGCAAAGTCGTTTTCTACTGTAGGTATGTCTTACCTCCATGAGGGTCTGTCTGGCACCCATAACTGAAATTGATGTCGATGTGAGCACTACATAATCACACCAATACAACTGCATTGGAATTACTGCTGCTCTTTAGTGTGCGCAGTGACAATTCGAGATGCAAATCTGGCTTCAATCCAAGCATTCTTCAAGAACAAACGAAATCAGGCAGAATTTTTCGATTTGGCATCAGAATAAGCAGGACGCTTCTGCAGCACGGTATGTTGAAAGCCTGAACACGAAAAGGTGCGAGAGGCACTATGGTTCTATATCTAGATAGAGTAGACACGACTGCACTCCACTCAACTGATTGAGTGGTCATGAATCTCACGGAGCAAGGACACCTTGAAGCACGCAAGTGAGCGGACTGAAGGTACGCAAATTAGAATGTCACAATCCTTTTTACTATTATCAAGAACACGGTACTTGGTCTGGGACATCGTGAATGACTCGATCGACGATGCATGACAAGCTACAAAGATGGGCTGATTAAAACCGGTTAGTCTCACTCTTGAGGCTTTAATTACGTGATGAAGTGAATGGTCCGAATGCGACAGCTGTATGCAGAGCCTGCCAGTAATTGCTGCTGAAAGTCTTTGAATCTGGACTTTGCTTTCGGTCTACCGGCTAAGGACCGGGCATTTTGGTGTTTGTGTGCCATGAAACAAGTATACCATCTTCTCCTGCTTTGGACAGTGTGACGGAAACCAAACTGTAACGCTATTCGTACTATATCTACTCCTACCATGACTATTCGTGCTACAGTAGTAAGCTATTTTGATGCTAGACGCTTGCAGGACTCAAACTGTCAATTTTTGGAGATGGCTTGCTTGTGCCACCTTGACGCCTGCTGGCTCATTATATATATGATCTAATCAGATCCATGTCAACTTGCTCTCATCACTAATTTTTGGAATACGGTTTCTTTAATTTTCTTGTTGAATCAAAGCGTTGCAATAACATGTACGACTCTGCCCTCCATGACATTTCAGTCACGGTCTCTCTACAAGGCAGAATACACAAACAATACATTGCTTCTCTGATAGGGTCTTTTGCGGTAGTGCTTGAATGTACTGTATATTGATAAAGGGCAGAAATTAGACTTCATATAATGATAAAACAGGCCATCCGCCCATTCACATGTGTAAGGACGTGTTATCTCTTACTAATTGTGTGGGACTCAAATTCTCTCTCTCAGGTCTTTTCACAACTTACGATGGCGCGCCATGGATCGCGTCTGCCTCTCTCTCTCTCTCAAAATATCACAGTCATCAGACGGGCGCCACAATTCGATCAATTTTCCGTTTTTTAATCATTTTTTGTTTCACACCGTCTGTTCCCATCCAATCGTCTGTTCACGCGATCAGCTGCTTATACTTCATGTTTGTATTCGAGTCTTATTCAGGCAATCAACACGGCAGTATCAGCCCTCCCTCTTCACTTCCGCATTTCTCATCTTACAAAGATTATCACTCTGTGATTTTCAACATGCACTCCGCCTTGCAGTTCGCTCATCGTCTACGCTCGTCTGCAGCGCGCCTTGTCCGTTCGCGGTCCACTACGGCAGCACCTGCGTCGCTTGCTGCATCATGGGACCGTCCGTTTCCTTCCATTCTCGTGCGTTCCTTCTCTCTCGTCTACGTTACACAATGCAAGATACTAACGAATCCGAGTCATGGTCAGTAGGTTACCGCTGAGGGAGTGTCTGCTCAGGGTTCGTTTGCTGAGGCGCAGGCCAATTACTTGAAGCCTGACATGCAAGTGGTTGAAGAGCTGGACACGCTGTTACATGAGAAAAAAATGGGGATCGTCGCGCATTTTTACATGGACCCAGAGCTCCAGGGAATTTTATCATCGCTTTCCTGGCCGCATACATTTATCGCTGACTCACTGGCCATGGGAGAAGCTGCAGCAAAGATGGCCAAGAAGGGCGTCCAGTCAGTGGCCGTGTTAGGCGTTGATTTCATGTCGGAGAGCGTGCGTGCGAACTTGGACTCGAACAACTTTGAGCACATTCCAGTGTATCGCCTGTCGGAGAAAAAGATCGGCTGTAGTTTGGCTGAGTCGGCGGAGAAACAGGCGTATCTTGCGTACCTACAAAAGGCTGCCAAGACCCCCACCAGTCTGCACATTGTGTACATTAACACGTCGCTTCGTAGCAAGGCTTTTGCACATGACTTGGTGCCGACGATCACTTGCACGTCCTCGAACGTGGTGCAGACGGTCTTGCAGGCTTTCGCACAGGTCCCGGATATTAATGTCTGGTACGGACCCGACACGTACATGGGTGAGAATTTGCAGCAGATGTTTGAGCACATTGCGCAGCTTCCGGATGAAAAGATCCGTCAGATTCACCCGCAACATAACCAGACGACCATTGCGAAGTTGCTCACGCGGTTTGACTACTTTAAAGAGGGCAATTGCGTCGTGCACCACATGTTTGGAGATAAGGTAACACAACGCGTGCGTGACGACTATGAACATGCTTACTACACGGCTCACTTTGAAGTGCCCGGCGAGATGTTTACACTGGCAATGGATGCGCAGAACAAGGGTCGCGGTGTCGTTGGCTCGACGTCGAACATTCTTAACTTTATCAAGGCCAAGACGGCTGAAGCACTAAAGAACCAGTCTGGAGAAAGGCTCAGTTTCGTGCTAGGAACGGAGGCCGGCATGATCACAGCCATCGTGCGAGGCGTCACGGAGATGCTGAACGCGCATCAGGGTGGTGTGAAGCCGGAGGTTGAGATCATCTTTCCTGTGTCGGCGGATGCTGTTGCTATGGAAGGCGACGAGCTGGTTCCTGGCGTTGCTGGCGGCGAAGGATGCTCGACCGCGGGTGGCTGCGCCACGTGTCCGTTTATGAAAATGAACGACATTGATGCCCTGTTTCGCGTGGTGGAAAAGGTGTCTGTGAGCACGAACGGTCCTGATCCACTTGCAAACTTTTACCCGCAGAAATACAGTGAGCTCATTCATGGAAAGTCTGTCACGGACGTTGGCGTGCAACCCATTTTGCACATGAAGTCTTTTATGGATGGACAGAAGTTTTCAGACGCGCTGGTAAAGGATATTGTGTCACGAGTACCCGGCGCGGGCTGTCCTAAGTAAACGTAGTTCGACGTTTGTGATTAGATGAAGTTTGTTGCTGTGGCACGAAATGACAAAAAAGAATACTACATGTCATCTTGGTAAGTTTAGTAAGAAAAAATCAATGCTTATCCTTCATAAGCCCAGCATCAACTCAGTCTCCTTTCCTTGACATCCCATGATCTTCTGTGGTCATTTTTCGATTATATTTACTAAAAGGGTTCTAATATAGTATATCTAGGTGCTTTATCCCCAAACACAGGGCTTCTTGTATGCCAGCAACACTGTACTTCTGTCAAGTACGGTACCTCTTACAACCCGGAGACGTTTAGACGCTATTCTAGCGTTGTCTTTCTCATACACATATAGGATGGTGCAATTTACGACGACACTCCCTAACGACGCGGCAATTCCTAGACAGGGTCCTCGATTAGGCGAGATTCCCATCAGACGTTTTTGTGCAAATCTTTGCTCACAGGGACAAACTTTGGGACCCCAGTTGAGATGGTAAACGCTAACATGCGGAGTTAAAATGGTACTTCCTCGTGTTTCTTTGTACAGCTTTAAACTATCCAGTTTTGTGTCTATGAACTATATAATTTTCTGCAAAAGAACCGATTTCGGGATCGGCAACTTCAAGCGATAGCTCGACCCCGTCAAGCCAGATTCCATCCGGTTATGACGAAGTTGTCCGTTCCAAGGATGATCGTATACGGTCCACTGCATAATTAACTGAGTCATGTCAAGCACGTGAGAGTATTCAGTTTAAATCGCGTAGATAGCGTCAAACACCTCGACTCATTTGATAAGACCACCAATGCCTTAGCATGCATCAATAATACATTACAGCTATCTCGTATAGCGTTCATGCAGCCCCTGTTTTGGGTTGTTACAGAATTACAATTTCTCATGAAACTGCTGGGGCTGTTTCGGCATGGATGGTGTGGGTGTAGAGTACATAGATGTGCTCGATCTCTCCCATCCCATGAAACAGCTGGACGCCAGCCAAAACCAACAGGATACAAATGAACTGTACCCTCTTTACGTTTTCCTGATCGTACAATTGTATCACATGCTACATACCGCACTGTCTGACCAATGCAGTGTCCAACTTCGCAGCCGTATCTGCCTCTCACAATTCAATTTGCCTTCATTGATCAACCTCCTTCCGCTTCTCGATTCAAGTATGCAGACTCCGAGTGCGCTTCGTCTTGTGGCCCTCGCTGCAACGGCTTCACTTGCTGCTGTAATCACGAACGCTCAGCAAGTTGGCACCAACACGGCCGAAACTCACCCTTCGCTCACGACTCAAACTTGTACGAAAGGAAGTTGCACGGAAGACTCCAAAACGTCCATTGTGCTGGACGCCAACTGGCGCTGGTTGTACAAGCAGGGGACGTCAACGAACTGCTACACTGGCAACAAATGGGACGCGACCATCTGCAAGGATCCCAAGACATGTGCATCAAGCTGTGCACTTGACGGAGCCGACTACACCGGAACGTATGGTATCACGACCGAGAGCGACAGCATGACCATGAAGCTCGTGACCAAGGGTCAGTACAGCACGAACATTGGTTCGCGCGTGTACGTCTCGGATTCCCCAAAGACTTACAAGTTGTACAAGCTGTTGAACCAGGAGTTCTCGTTTGATGTGGATGTGTCAGCCCTTGACTGTGGTCTTAACGGTGCGCTGTACTTTGTCGAGATGGATACCGATGGCGGTATGAAGCGCTTCCCGACAAACAAGGCAGGCGCTGAATACGGTACAGGCTACTGCGATGCCCAATGCCCGCGAGACCTCAAGTTCATCAGTGGAGAGGCGAACTCTCTCGAGTGGACGCCGAGCAAGGTGGATCCCAACGTCGGCTTTGGCAAGTATGGCTCGTGCTGTGCTGAGCTGGATATCTGGGAGGCGAACATGATCAGTAACGCGTACACGACTCACCCATGCACCTCATCAACAAAGACTACCGGTCCTCATCGCTGTATGACTGCGAAGGAGTGTGGGGATGGCAAGGCTCGCTACGACGGTGTGTGTGACAAGGACGGCTGCGACTTTAATCCGTACCGTATGGGTAACAAGACGTTCTTTGGTCCTGGTGCGGAATTCGCGATCGACTCGACCAAGAAGTTCACGGTGGTGACTCGGTTCATCACGGACGATAACACGGCAACGGGTACTTTGACCGAAGTCTCCCGCTTCTACGTGCAGGATGGTAAGACTCACGAGATGCCTCACGCAACCTTTCCGGCGATCAAGGACATGAATTCTTTGACGGACAAGACATGCTCTGCTTCTAAGAAGCTTTTTGGTGATACAGATGATCACAAAATCAAGGGCGGCTTAAAGCAAATGAGTCTTTCGATGAAGCGTGGTATGGTGTTGACCATCAGTCTGTGGACAGACAGCGTTGCGCAATGCCTTTGGTTGGACTCGGACTACCCCGTGACAGCCGATGCGTCTAAGCCCGGTGTCTCACGCGGTTCATGCTCTACTGACTCGGGTTTACCTAAAGATGTAATTGCTAAGCAGGCAGATGCTAGTGTCACGTTTAGCAACATCCGTATCGGTGACATTGGCTCGACGGTGAAGGGTATGAAGGCCACGTCGACGGCCGGTGCGGCCACTAAGGCTGCTGCTGGTGAGACCACAACTGAGTCTGCGAAGGAGGAGACAGGCACGCAAGAGGAGGAAACAGACACGAAAGCCACAGCTGAGTCTACTAAGGATGATGCGAGCAAGGAAACTCCTGCAACTGAAGCAACTGAGACTCCTACAACGGGAGCAGCTGATACTCCTGAAGGAACTGAGGCAGCTGATACTCCTAAAGCAGCTGACACTCCTGAATCAAGTGAGACTCCTAAAGCAGCTGACACTCCTGAATCAAGTGAGACTACTAAAACAGCTGAGACTTCTGAAGGAAGTGAGACTCCTGCAAGTGAAACGAAAGAGGGGACAGACACGCAAGTCCAAAGTGCAACGAGCACTTCTGCGTCAACGAGTTCGTGCAAGCGCCGCCGCGAGTAGCTAGCTATTGACTCAAATGAGTAGAAACAAATATGTGCTGTGCTGCGTCTAACCTCGGATCTGCTTTACGTAGTGTGTCAATGTTATAATAAAGTCCTTGACATTTGTATAGTTGAACTCTGTTGTGTTTCGTTTCCTGAAGTAACAGGACGATTACAGAAGGCGTAAGTTTCCGTCTGAGGAATATTTACATGTAGTCCCAATTTTCACAAAGAAAAAACATCCGGGCTATAAAAGTGTCGTCATTCGGTTACTTTTGGATGAGCTATAATCTTAAATCTCCTTTTTAGCAATTCGCACTTCTCATTTGTTACTTCCATACTAAATCGTCACGATGAACACGCTAATTGACGACAAGACCAAGCATACAGTCCAGCAGATTCCACTACTGACAATACGTGCAGGACCGCGTGATGGCGACAATTGGACAAAACGTTTAAAAGAAGAATATCTTGCACTGATTCAGTATGTGAAAATGAATAAAGAAATGGATAACGACTGGTTTACCATTGAAAGTAACAAATCTGGAACACGCTGGACGGGTAAATGCTGGTCCTTTTACAATGGACTTCGCTATGAATTTGATCTGGAATTTGAAATCCCAGCGACGTATCCAGTAGCAAATCCAGAACTTTGTCTTCCAGAGCTTGAAGGGAAGACGTCCAAGATGTATCGAGGAGGTAAAATATGCCTTACGATCCACTTTGCGCCGCTCTGGCAGAAAAATGTTCCACGTTTTGGTGTGGCTCATGCTCTTGCACTTGGTGTACGACTGTTTTTTTATACATGACAATGAGGTTATAAAAGATTTTGACGTACTGTGATTGTTATGATGATGATGTAGCTGGCTCCGTGGCTTGCTGCAGAAGTACCGGATCTTGTCGAGCGTGGAGTTATTACCTCCGTGTAATACTAAACACGAGAAGACGACGAGGGAAATGGATGGATGGAGATAAAGTATCAGTTGCTAAATGTTTCTGATGTCGACAATTTTTTTTTAGTGCTAATGCTGCTGGTTTGACATAATCTTCCATTGGATCTGTTTTTACTTGGATGCTAATTGTACTAGGATGTAAACGTGTATCTACACGTTTGACAGTATCTGCAACCTGTTTTTGCTTGTTCAACACTTGTTGATTTCGAATCGGTGCTGTTAGATTAATAGTGTATCTGTGTTGATGGGTATCCTCTTCAGGATTTCGAGGATCTAGACGACTGGGTGGTTGCTTGGTGAAATGATACCTGAAATCAGTCGAGAATTACGGGAGCAAGGAGAAAAGACGATGCGGGGACAGCAACGTCGGCGACGGTACAGGAGCAGAGAACATAGATAGAGACGAAGCTGGTGACGACGTGACTATTGCTGCTGGTATGTTGGAGTGAGAATGTTGGGAATCGCCACTTGATGTTGAAGTGCCACTGGAACTCATCTTGGTGTGGGCGCAGCAGTATCCTGAACGTTGTGCCCACTTGGGGCAGTTAAAGTAGTCACACCGCTTGCCACCGCCGTGCGAACGACATAATCGATTTTGGTGGGCGTTCTTGATGCAGCCAGTGACGTTGCATTGCCGGCCGCCACCATGGGATTTACATAGTCCCCGTGTCTGGGCAAATTTGGAGCACCCATCTTTCTTGCAGCGCGAACCACCACCGTGCTCGGGGCACTTTCCTCGGCTGAGTGCAGACTTGTTGCAGCCGCACATACTGCACACCTTGCCACTATGGCGATTGCAGAACCCTGCTGATCGACGAAGATTCGGGCAGTCCGGGTGTGTGCAACGCAATTGTTTTCGTTCACTGCTTGATGCGACGGTAGCAACCGAAAGTTTATTCTTCTTAAAGGGCGGCATTGACAACATGGGCAGTGGTGTAGGAGGAAGGCAAGACGTCAGAAACGATACCGTCGACTTTTCCGACTTCATCCCACGCATGTCCGAATCAATTGACAAATTGTCATAGAAAAACGGTTGAGAAAGACGAGCAAAGTCATGCCCGAATACGCGCGGTGGCGAGACAATAGCATTGACGGCAGAAGCTGACATTGGTGATTGGTTTGGTAGCGACAAGATTGCACAGCTACGGGTGGATAACGGTTGTAAACGTGTGAAGTGGAGCGAGTTGTCAAAGCAGATTTGCGGGAACGAAACATCTACTTGTTGGTTGTTGCGCTTGGAGGTCCATATTGTTGAAGCTGAATTGCTGCTTTCGATGTAGTCTTCAAACATCTTTCCTGTTGTTGGCTGGAGCTGTCGTGGGGATACGAAATCATTATCCAGTAAAAGCTCACGAAGAATATCATTCTCTTCGATTGGCGACGCTCGTCGGTTCGTTTCAACAAAGCCATTGGCGAAGAACATCTTGAAGATATGGAATGGATGAGAGAGTCGAGTGGCCAGTTACGTGTTGAGGTGTTACAATTGCAACACTTCAACAAACGTTTTTAGATGGAGTACAGCTAGCTGGAGAGGCGTGACTGTGGAAAGCTTCGCCGTAGAGTCGGGAAGTCGAGAAATGAGTTGATGATTGGCCACCTTGCCGGTTGCGGCAACGTGCCAAGGTCGGATAGCAACAATGTCAGTCAGTGCACCAAGCGGTCACCACAGTCAAGAGGCAGGTAGTAGTTTAAAACGATTAGAAACGGCTACCTGACTCTAACGCTGGTTGAAAAGCTGGTCGGTTGATGGACATACTGGTCCACAATGTAGACGTTACAAGTTGCTGATAAGCCTATTTGGCCAACACTTGAGCGTCGTCATTTGCCGTTAATCGACTATTAATACCAAACGGATGAATCCGTTTCGAGCGAGTGTCAGGTTGAACAGTTATAATACTTTCCCGTTTCGTTTTTCCGACTCCAACAAATGCAAAAACGGATGCAGACTAACATGTCACGCATGGATGAAACGACGTACGTAACTGAACAGCAGCACAATAGCTGACAGCCATGAACGCACGGTTCATCTAAAACCAGTTTTTCGCATCGGATGATCAGACTCGTTTAAGCGCAGTGCTGGAATCTAAAACCAACACAAACGGATCAGAGATTCATTGACAATACTTAACTCCCACCCACCACCACCACCCGATGATACCCTAAAGTGACGAGTCGTTGTCTCTTCTGTCCACGTCAACACGAGCAGGTCTGATCCGGGTTTTTGCTGCTCGGATCAAGCTCAGCTCTTTTAGTTTGATTGGCACCTTGCACACTGGGCAGGATGTAAATCCGTCCTTCTCCATCTGCATGAATCGAATCAGCACAACACATGATTAGTTTCACACCTTTACGAGTCAATACAATCGCTAATCACCTTTTTCCAGCAGGGCTGGCAACAGATATGTCCGCATTGCGATGACGCATATGCCTTCCGTGCAATATCGTAGCATACAAAACACTGCGGATCTTTAACGACAGCTGCTGTTGGAACATTGCCTTGATGGGTCTTTCTTCTTTTCTGCTGAAGTCGTTTGAATAGTGTTGACATGTCTGACGATTCCACTTCCGTAACGCTCCGTTGAGCTTTGTCACATACTGAGAGCCCACGACTTCTTGCCGCCTCGACAAACTGTTCACACATTGCACCGTTCAAAACTTGCGGCATTAATTCCAGTAGCTCTTTACAAGCAGGATCACGTAGCAGATTGCAGATCCCACTTAGTGACGATTCCACGTCTTCACTAGTTTGAAGCTGTCGAATAAAGCTGTACAGTTTCGGCACGTCTGGAGGTTCAAGCACTTTCCTTGCCACTGCAGGAAACTCGGCTGCGGACAATCTCACGCAAACTCCCTCTGCTTTTGAAACAGCAGCGTTAGGCTCCATTTTTACCACAAACTGTTGCTTCGCATTTTGCCACGACTGCGCATCGTCGTCATCTACAACAATAACGCTACCAGCAGAGCTTCCACCATTTGCTGTCTTTGGCACCGTAAATGGGCGCGAAATTGACGACGTCATGTCTACCATTGCTGATTTGGATGTGGAAGTTAACAGCGACCCTAGTGAACGTTTCTGATAAGAAACTGGTCTAGTTTGTGCAGAAGCTGGAACAGCACGCGTGCTGGGTTCTGTTTCAAAAGATATGCATCAACTGCACCGGTCAGCACCCCGTATCTCACTTCACTATTATAGTTACAACAGACGCACCTGTTGTCTCCGAATGTGGTGGGTGTCGAAGAAGTTGTGGATTTACATATGATTGTCCGACGCCAATTGCAGGTTGAGAATTGGATAGTTGTGATGCAATTGTCGGCAGACTCGTTCGACCACCTTCGCTATCGGACAATGGCTTAGAAACTTTTGACATTGCTCTCTTAGACAACCCGATCGATTTTGGCTGTTGAGAGATCTTCTTCACAGACGACTCATGTACTGCTCTTGCTTTGTTGTTCTTGAAGAAACGAGTGAGGCCAATATGTGCTTCACCTGTAGAATATAGCAGTATGAGAATCTCTACGTTGTCCTAGCCAACGAAATGTCGCACTTACCGTATCCTCTGCAGACGTGGCAATAGGGTTGCAACCACTTTGACAGACACTCTTGCTGTTGTTTCAATGCAAACCTCTCATCCAATAGTATAATAGCCCCGTAATCGTGGCGGTGACGAATGACACGACCGATGGCTTGGTTTACTGCTCGCGAAGCTTGTTGAATGTACCACGCGTTTCCCGTCAATTTCTGGTCATAGGTTAAGAATGGTGTTAGCCGTAAAACCAAACCTTAGCTACAAAACTTAAGGCACCTGACCAGTTCCCCAGGTGGCACTACTGCTGAGTCCAAAATGCTCTTTTTCAACACAATTTTCGGGTCTTTTGTAGGCGGGAAAGGTAAGCCAGTGATGACCACTGCACGACCTTTATCATTCGAAAAGTCAATGCCTTCACTCACCTGCATTCATATAAAGCATCAACAACATGTAAGACCGAAAGACCTCGGGAATAGCTCTGCAACACTTACCTTTCCTCTACACACGGCAAAAAACACTGCGCCCTTAGGATTGTCGATGATAGTTTGGTGGTATTCGTCTACCACTGCCTTAAATTCCGCCCGACCTCGAGGTTCCACAAATGGTTGTTTATGCTGGACCATTCGGTCCCAAATTGACATAGACGACTCGCCCGCGGTAGGCTTTCGCCATTTATCGATGCTCTCTTCTAAAATCGAGTAGGAAGGGAAGAATACAAGCAGGCCGTGCGGGACTAGTCGAGTAAAATTCACAATTGTGTTGCCCAGTTCCAATAGATATGTTTCGGTGGACCGGAAATTGTAGCTGGAATTCAATCGCTTGCCAGTCACGCCTGTGCCCACGACACCCACCCAGACTTGGTCAGCGTCGACCACGTGGTTGTTCTCTAGTTGCACCGGAAAATCAATGCCGAGCTCTTTGATCGTTGTATTCAACGGTGAAAGTGTTCCACTAAACACCGACAGATCGACCCAGTTAGTCATCAAGGTCCCCAAGAAAGGCGAGCAATGCGGAGAGTACAAACCTGGTCAAAATGACATTGTGGACATTGTTGGTGCAGATTTCGCGAAACGCTACACCAGGATGGAAGCACCAATAGTTGAACACGCGGGTTGTTTTCTTTTGTTTTCGATCAGCGTTGAACAGGAAGCCAGTACTTACAGGCCTAAACAGCACACGTCAAGGTGAGGTGTTGCCTTGTTACACAAGGCAGTAATATTTCGTAAAAATACCTTTCTCTCATTTCTTGGATGTGGACTCTATAGTATTTCGCTGACTAGAATCAAATGCAAGAATTAGAGACAGCATACCAAGACTTCGAGCAAACACAGAAAAGGTTACCGTCAAGTGCTGTTCTTTACTCCGAAAGATTGTGCCCAGGAAGGAAAGCATCGTATCGAGTTTTGATACAGCTCTTTGGGAGTCGTTTCCACCTTGTGCCACTTCAACAATTTCCTCAATCATGCTTAGGACAAGCGGGCATGTTTCGAAGTTTACATTGAATTGCTCGAAGAATTCAAAAATGTATTCTCCCGGCTAGGAAAATGGCAATTTTATTAGCAATATGAGAAACCTCACACTTCATTTCAAAAAAAGTTTTGAGTCTCGTTACCTTTGTGAACCCTCCACTCGAAGATAGCGGAAAATTATTCAGTCCTTTGTCAATTTCCATCAATAGAGCTCGCAGCGTTTGGGTCGACTACAAAAGCAAAGGGTTATTCATTTTGTAACAGCGTAGAGGTTTCATGCCGTCTTCGTACCTCCATCGTCAGATTACTTCCCGCGTCCAGCTGTATACTTTTGTTCGATAATCCTCTGATAAACGTGTCAACTTCTGCAATACAACCCGAAATGTCGTTCGACGAGAGAGTATACGACGCCGCTTCACTTGCAATCGATTCCTAAGCAGGCAGTACTAATCTTAACAAGACAGTGCAAAATCACACATATTGCCAACGCATCCATACCACATTGTGTGCTTCGTCAAAAATCAAAATCGAGTTTTCGATAGATATACCAATTGAGCGCCGTGCCAAAGGGTCAATAAGATAGTTGTACGGCACAAAAATAATCTCTGCTTCAGGCAGCATACTCCTCGTCAGAAAAAACGGGCAAATCTACAAACACCGACACAAAAAGTACATCAACTCACAAAGCAGCTAATACGTCATGACACTAATATTACCCCACCGTCTTTTCCTTCATCGTTATTACAAGTTCTTCAATGTCCAAAATTGGCTGTGCTTGTTTCTTTAACCGTTTGACATAAGAGTCAACGCCCAATTTGTACATGCATCTGACCAGAATAATCCACAGAAATTAGAACATCAGGAGGGAGGAGAAGGGCCTCACACAGCCACAAAGAGCTTGGAATGTCTACTGACCTTCTATCTTTGCAAGTCGAGCGACATGCAAGGTTTTGTTTCGTGCCTTGGAGCTTGGACACCTTCTCATGCACACACAAATGCTCTCGAGAGCCAAGTACTGCAACATTGGGACGGTATGACGTATTCTTGAGCTCCTGAACCACCTGTTTTAGCTGGGAATGAGTACGTGATGAATAAATAATTCTCGGAAGCTGTGGTACGTCACTGTCGCTGTCATCGCCTTCGTAGACCAAAGATGAGCCTCCAGAACGTCTGGCTCCTAATGAAGTAGTATTATTTGTGCCTAGGACCGCCTGTTGTTGTCGACGCCATGCTAACGTTGCGCACAGAAGACATAATGTCTATAATAATTATTAAATTAATTAATTCATATTTAATTATAGCAACAATAATTGTTTTATTGACAATTATTTTAAAATTACCTTGCCAGTGCCTGTAGGACTTTCCAGAATAGCATTCTGCTTGGATGTGAGTGATAGCATCACCTTCTCCATGTAAATTAGCTGTGAATCGTATGGCGGGAATGGGAACTCCACAGGAATGCCGCAGATCTCAAGCATCACCATGGTGATCAGCAGCACCAACACTCTTTAATGACAAAATGTTGCAGTTAGGTACACCACATCAAGTAAAAGGACTAAATCACAAAAACGATGAAAAAGGCACAAAATTAAGGGAAAGGCTATCACGACTTGTACCCATCACTCATTTAACCCTTTTGTAGTAATATGGGTACGAACCAATCTAAGTACCCTTTTCCGCCAATTGAGTACACATTTTCGCACTCTTATCTATTATGGCCAGTGACAGCAAAGGCTCTTTGAGCTCTGACCTGCTAAATGATGACGCTGACCACTCTCCCCCTGATGTCTCTTTCCACAGCTCTGACTGTAGTAGCATTAACACTGACGATGAAACCATCTTGCCGATGCTTCCGACAGATACGTTTACTGGAAAAGTATATGCCACTTATGACGATGCCTTTATTGCCTTAAAGAAAGCCTCTCATGAGCACGGATTCTCAGTCAAGAAGAAAAAAACAAACCGTTCTAAGAGAGCGAAATCAGTCGTACCCGATAATGTTTGGCTCCCTATCACTTACTACATTAGTTGCGCTCGTGCAAGAAAACCAGACAGTCGTTTGGAGAAAGGGACGAAGCCGAAACGAAAGCGTCGCTCTTTGTTGACGAACTGCAAGTGGAGAGCGACCATTAAGAATGATGCACCCGGTAATACTGGATACTTCACTATCGCTCTTGCTGGAGAACATAATCATCCCGCTGCGCTGGATTTGCGATCGTTGCCAATCGCCAGAAGAATGACCAAAGAGCAACTTGAAAAGTCGAAGCGATTACTGAGATCTGGTTTGAAGCCGGCATCCGTTTTAGATGTGATTAAAAGTGACTTTGGAGATGAGATTTGTCTAGTGATAGAAAAGGATCTTGTGAACATCCAACAGTCTGAGCGCGTACAAAAAAGATGGACTGATGGAACTGGAAGGTCTTGGAGAGATTTGAGCGTGCACGATTTCAGACTCGAGTAGACGGCGACAGGCATTTGACGCACCGGCTGATTATTCCGCCCACGGTGCCCGAGCCTTCGAAAATTGAAGGGCGAACGCCTGTGGTGCAGTTGGACGAAACCTACTGCACAAATGTTCATGGCGTTGGAATGGTGTATATCATAAGTTTCCCATATACCAATCGAATCTTAGTCTGGAGTAGCAGAATATGTTGCATAGCATACCGTAGAAGTGTGCTTGTTACCAAATATTCTGTGTGATTACGATTCCAAATTGCGCGTGTCAGGCTTGTAGTGGCGTCTAGCGTGTCGGCCTCATATAACCAAAAAGGGTCGAATGAGTGATGGTAAATTGTTCGTGGTTTCTGGATTAGACTTGCCCCAAAATAAAGTATGATGAGACGACGCAACTTTGTATGACGAACCATGCGAGTTTACTGGTCTTGTTTCTGTCGTTGAAGCTTTCTTCTCCACTGACGCCCTGTACGGACGATGGCTGCTTGAAGCATATTGGCTATCGTCCAGAATGCAGCTCGATCTCCTTCTTCGAACACAATCAAAACTTCAGAGCCACCTTCGTTGTCCTTCATGGTAAATATTTCCACTCGACCAGCACTATGCACTTTGGTTCGATTATTACCCGATGCTTGTGGATCGGGTTTGTGCTGTTCTAACCGATACATTTTCCGCTCTTGATAATCTTCTTCTTCTTCTGCCTCCTCTTTGTGTTTGTAGTTTGTTGTATCCTCCGACAGCTTGAGCTCCTCGTTCGTCTCGACAAATTCACGAATTCTCAAAAGAACCTCCTCAATTGTAGCACAACCTTTACCTGCTGCAATGTCGAGCAAGAAAGTGCAATCGGTTATTATCCCAGCACAAGGAATCGCAACAATATAGCTGTTGACAAACTTTACTTTGTCGTGGCACCTGGAAGCGAACTTCCTGTCGACGATGGGCTTCTTTTCGCTTACCCAGTACTTTTTTCTGTACAAGTCACGCAATTACACATGCATGAGCAAGCACTATTCGGACATCATCCAAGCACTACTGATATACCAACGTACAGAAGGATCATCCATCACATTTTCAGAGAATGTCCATGCGATTCCCCATCGCTTCGTTCGTCCTTGGAAAAACTCGGTAGTGCGAGTATTCCGCACTTGGTTTTTGCGGAGCAGAGCTAGAAGCTTGCGCAGACTCGCCTTTTTGCCGATCATTGAGCTAAACCAGAGCACGCGGTTCTGCAAGTCTACACTCTCGACGATCATATTACCAATAAATGCGACTTCACCTCCCGGAAACACCATCTCGTTGGCACTGCCCATACAGCTCGATGCTGGATTTGTGTCCGCTTCATCTATGTCGTCAAAGAAGGGTGGATTGCACATGACAAAATGAAACTTGCGCTCTAATGGCTCGTCTTGCAATGGCTCCAATAGCAACTTGTTCGTCTGCGTCCGCTTCACAGTAATGAGTGTCTCAAGATGATTCCGAGCCACATTTTCTTTTGCACAAGCGTAGGACTCGGCATCAATCTCCGTCGCAATAAACTTCCATTTGTTCATTGTTGCGCCAAGTAATGCGTAGATACAGTTTGCCCCTGTTCCCACGTCAATTCCAGACACGACCTCTTTGTCTAGTGTAGGACCTTTCTGCTCTTGCTCTTGCGTTGTCAGGCTGCTGCCAGGTGCTTGACTGAGCAAATCTTCAATCCAGTGGAGATAATTTAATCGGTTTGGCAGCTAAGAACATCAAATACAACAGTGAGGAGAAACAACAAGCATTTTTTTACAGCTCCAATACTCACGAACCGGTGGACACAATCGATTGATTGGGATATCCCATTGTAACCCAAAATCGTGCAAAAGAAGCGTCTTGGTCAATTCCCTGCTTTATAGCCATAGAAATATTAGGTCTTATCACATAACCCCATGAATGACTGATAGAAAGACAAACTGGCAGTACCTGACAGCAAAAGGGTCGTCCCAAGATAGAGAAGCACGACAATTAAAGTCGTCTACATTGTACAGACTGGAATCAATGAGTTAAATTTACTAACAACACATTCATGTATGACGTACTATTGCTTGAAATTTGCATATTGCTGACCCAATGCATAAAAATCCGGCGGGTTCTTCTTGTATCGATTTCGATCATGTGTTAAGGCGCCGAGATGCGGCGTTGGCTGTCGTCGTGACCCACGCATTATGGGTCTATTGATCGATACCGGTACTACCGGTTTCAGCTATATATTCAAATATGTGAATACGTAATGAATTGACAAAACATAAAATGAATTGACAAAACCGGCGTGTTGAAGTGGTTTTATTTATATCAGCGACTTTGCTCGGTTTAATAACAACACGGACGTTTAAACGCCAAATCGTCATGCATCTGCTGTTTTTCGTCTTGCTTGGTTGCTACGGAGAGATGCTCGAGGTGTGTCGCTTTTTTTCCCATTATGTCGGCGTGCAAATAGCGGCGTCACTGTGGATGATGATGGTGCAGTTGTTGACGACTTTGTCGCTTTATCCAAAGTCTGCAGCATATACTTGATCTCGACATTTGTAGAGTCGAGATCCTCACGCATCGACGCCATAACAGCTTCACGAACAATGGCACTCAAGTCTCCAGCTGACAAGCCACTGGTGTGCTTGGCCACGTATCTGGCAAGTGCCTCGCGAGAATCAAGTGCTGCATCGGATGAGTAATCGACAGGAACTTTCTCCAACGCTTGAAGGATAAACGCACATCTCGCATCTTCGTCCGGATAGCCGACATGAATGTGAACATCGAAACGTCTGAGATTAAGCACAAACACTGCGAGTTAGCAATACGACGTACAAGGTTATACAAGAGGCTCAAGTTACTTACCCTGGTCGAAGGATGGCTGGGTCTAGCAGCTCTTTGTTTGTTGTTGAAGCAAGGATAACAACATGCTGCTTGAGAAACGCCATGCGCGCTTCATCACTTACTAAGCTTTGCTGAAGCTTCGTACGGCTCGTGCTGAAACCGTCCATTTCAACAAGCAGCATACTCAGCATTCGGTCAAACGTTTGTTCAGTACTCGTATCGAAACCTCGCACAGGCGCAATACTCTCGATCTGGTCAAAATACAGCACACAAGGTGTAGCGTTTCTCGCCGTTGCAAAAAGCTCTCGCAGTGCTTTTTCAGTGTCACCAACAATCTTCGTTAATAAGTCGCTGCACTGGACAGACACAAACGATGCCAGCCCACAGCGGCGGACATGTTCAGCAACCGCATTGGCGAGATGCGTCTTGCCAGATCCGGGAGGACCTGTTAGCAGGATACCTTTCGGCGGAGTGGTTCCGAACCTCAAAAAACGGGTGCAATCTTCAAGTGGTTCTATCAGTGAGACCCGAAGGGTTTGGATAGCATCACTCATGCCGAACACACCGGAGAAGGCGCCTAGTGATGTGTTTTTGCTGTTCTTGTGAATGAAACTAGACACTGGTTCCTGCCGTTTTTGCATGACATGATGTGCCTGAAGTACGGAAGGGTAGGTCACTGCAAGCGCCTGCTCAAAGTGGCGTGGACAAACCATTGCGCTGCCTTCCTTTTTTATCGCTGCCTCATTCAGACACACTTGGAGTGCCTTTTGACAAAGGCTGAGCAAATCAGCACCAACAAAACCACCGGTGATTTCGCTCACTTGGTTCAAGAACTTCTCGTAAAGTTCGTCGCCTTGCCATGTCCTTGTAATGATTCGAAGGATGGCAAGCCGCTCAATTTGCGTGGGAGGCTCGATGCTTACAACCTGGTCAAGTCTGCCATTCGATAGTACTGCTGCATCTACATCTCCCGGACGTGTTGTGGTACTTAGAACAAACACCCGATGTGACGACGATTTAATCCTCTCTAGAGACGAAAGCAACGCACCCAAGACACCAATCTCGAGCACACTTTGCGAATCAGCCAAAGCGCGTCGAGAACCCGCAATTGCCTCAATCCCATCGATTACCAAAATGCTTGGAGACTGGAGCACTGCACTTTCAAATATCTTGACCAACTTTTTCTCCGACTGCCCAACATACGTCTGGTAGACGTCTGCTGCATTCAAAAAAAATGTCGTCACGCCCAGACACTTACAAATTTCTCTAGCTAACACCGTTTTGCCGATACCAGGAAGTCCACAAATCATCGCTCCGATATTCCGTCTCACCGCTATTGCCCCTTTTTGCGGTTCAAGACACTGCAAAATTGTCTGCAACAAGCTTCTCGCGTACTTTTCAACACCTCCGAGCTCGCTTGCAATTCGTCTAGTATACGTATCAACTGCCTCAAAATTTGCTGCAGAATGACACATGACTTGTGGTCGGTCGTCTCCGACAAAAGTCAACTTAACGTTCGAGACGCTAAGAATTGTCCCAAGCTGCTTGCAGCATCCAGACCCTGTTGATGTCCACTCAATGTCCACAAACTTGATATAATCTCTGCAATTTAACCAGCTCACAGACGACCTTCTCTCGCTCCACACCACTACACCGTCCAGTAACTTCGCTGCAATCCGTTGCAGCCCTCGGAGCACAGCACTAGGAGGTCTCTTGCGATCCAGAAAAGCCACACGGACACTTGCAATGACGCCACATTTGCACGCACACTTGATTCCAGTATGATTCACGTCCTGTTCTACGTCAGTTGTCACTTGTAGCGTCATTTGTGGTCCATTAGATTCGTCCAATGCTTCCAGGAGACCAAACGACAGCGCTGATCCGTCCTCTTGACGTCGCAACTGAGCAAATGCAACGCTTGATGTACTGGAAACTTGCACATACTTGTGGCTAGATATCGACACACAAGTATAGAGAATACATCGCTCGTCCTGCGCCGTCGCTGCTGCACCATCGATGCTACCCACCACTTTATTGATACAGATTGTAGCCATCTTGTAATGATTGCAACCCGAAGAGCTGCTCAGTGTATTCGACACCAAAGGTACTTCATGTCGTTACTTCAACTTGATGTAATGTACCCATAATGCAATAGCATGGACGTCTGGTTCGTAACGACGCAGTATCCCAAGTATGGCAATCATCCTCCATACGAGACTGTCTGTCACCCTGCTGTATCTTCTATCACACGTCCATACACAATGCATGTACCCTCTGTATACTTGGTATGGGATTCCAAGCTCGGTAGCGTCATTGCATTACGTCGTCGGGCGCGGCAATTGGCCGTCAGTCGCTGTGGTTTCGTATTGGCTGGTGTTTACTTCCGAATTGAGCATGCTACGGCACTGCAACTGCCTGTAGCCTTAAAGATCATGGACCGTACTCAAGTGTTACTTCAGAGAGACGACGTTGAGAGTGAGATTCGGGTCATGAGTCAACTGCAAATGGGTGGCATTGATGCACCATTGGCCAACAAGTACATGATCCGCTGGGAATACGCCAGTGATGTTTATAATCAATACTTAGTCACTGAGTATGTCGCCAATGGCAGTTTACAAGCTTATGCTTATCGTCAGGTGCATCACTTCATGCTCCAACATTTGCACGAGTTTGCACAAACTCATGGAGCTGCTCCTAGTAAATTAGAATGTATTTCTTATGTTTATCGAGGTTCAGGTCATGAATGGATGCAAAAAGGACTCGACATCTTTCAAGGACTTATACGAGCTTTGACGTATTTACACGCACAAAATGTTGCACATTTGGATCTCGATGTGTACAATGTTGCAGTGGATAGACAAGTGTGTCCAAGGATTATTGATCTCGGCAGTAGCCAGATCATGGATAATCGAGGCATGGTCGGGATGGGTTATGTGAGCATCAAGTGCAAACCGGTGTTTGTGTCACCAGAAGTGAGAGCACATCAGAGGATGGCACCACCAAGACCGGGGTTTAATGGCGCTGCGGCGGATATGTGGGCTGCAGGGGTTATTGTAAGTTGCTGCTGGATAGTTAATAGCTGCTGAGTTGAATGAAGAGTGTGGCTAATCTTTTTTGCTGCTATGGTGAGATCAGTTGGTGCAGTGTATTGTGTGGGGGTTTCGAGGTGGACCGACGTACCTTGTATCCAACACAAACTGGCGAAAAGAAATGTTTAGTCATATTGATGCCACTTGCAGTCACAAGACGTGTCATTTGTGTGTGAATTTTATTTCCATTCCTCCACTCATCGGCGCTATCATCAAACAGTTGCTCCATGTGGACCCAAAACAGCGGCCTTCAGCATACGAAGTCGCAATAGCATTGCAGGAAAACCGGCAAGTGCAATTGTTCCCCGTCCACCCAAGAATGCAAAGATGAAGCAATGTAGCAGCACGGTTAGCACAGATTGAGAAGAAAAGCCACGTTGCAGCTTGGGGTCTTGCGGTCACTACGTTGCTGCCTCCTCCTGCTATGACTACTGAGACTGAGCAAGAACTTGCAAAATACATGATTTGCTCCAAGACATGAACAGCCAGGTTTCCGACCCCTGAACACGGAGTAAGTATAAGTTATGCCGCCCAGCTCACGTATTTATATATGTGCAGTCAGGTATGATGATTGCCACAAGATGGCAGCGATTTCGTAGAGATGACGATCAACGAGAGGCTAAGAGATCGGGCGGAGGTATTTTGCTCGGACACAACGCCAGTTGTAGCTGCAGCTTTTTTAGGAATGAGCTGCCCATGTTAAAAAGAGTGAACTTCTACAGCTTCACTCGAATAAGCTGGTGGAACATCAGTCAGTGAGCGTTTATCTGTAACAACTGCTGGGTTGAGGCCGGAGTGGCACTGGGGTAGCATTCATTGGAATGTTGGTGAAATTATCTACCATGGAGACAGCAACGAATCGATCGGCTTTTTACACGTTCCTCGACCAGCTTGCAAGTGGAATGGTTGCCCAGGCTTAACACCGGCATATGACCCTGTGGTGGTACGGACTCTTTTTTAGACTTAAGATTGGCTATGTTATATGATTTATCCATTGGATAACGATCGATCCGTTGTATAGGATCTACCATGGAAGATGTGATGCTTCAGCGACGATACCAATTGCAGCTTCAGGAGCGTCGCGCTTGTCGTCGTAACAAGTTAAAGTTCACTAGTCAATTTGAAGCACATGATCGAGCTCCAATAGTCGCAACGACTCTGGCGGATATCGAGGCGGTCACGTCCCGATCAGGTACAAGAAAAGCTGACTATTTATAGTTGCTATGATACAATACTTACCCCTTCATTCAAATGGTGTTTTTGATGCACTAGAATTTGTACGGCAGCAGTTGACAATGAATGGACTAACGTCACTAAGACGTTGGCATCTTCAGCTGAAAATGATGATCGCTGAGGACTTGAAGCAAAAGGGAATGGAAAATAAAGATGATGACATGGAGACTGCATTGCAGACATGTGAGACGGAACTCTTGCGTGACCAGCGCTGCTATGATGTCGTGTATAGAGCAGGCTTACGCGTATCAGACGCTCGTGAAAGTTTGCTAGATGAGGGTGCGCCAATGGACGTTCGAGAGCTGTTGACCTTCTCCACACGAGCCGACAGCTTTATCTGCCGTATCACGTGCCTGCACAATGGAAAGCACGTGTTCTTTAGCTCGAGTGAGTATGTGGAGCATTTACAAGTAGAGCTCGAGCGTCTGTTGAACGAAGATTCACCAGTTGACGCAGTCATCAATTTTATCTGGAAGGCACTTCATTCACAGCAGCAACCCGTCGAATGAACGGTCAAGCTCAAGCTCAAGCTCAAGCTCAAGCTCAAGCTCAACAAGTCAACACCAATAGCAATCGCATTAATGAGAGGACAACACGTGTATTTCCCAACATTATGCTTCGCATACACCGCAATATTGTGCAAGCTACCAGCTGATCACTTAAGCAGTCAAGAGACAAGCACCACCAGCTGCCTTGATCTTTTTCTCCGCTTCGGCCGAAAAGTACTTGGCCTTCACGATCACGGGCACCTCGGGGAGACGGCCCTTGCCAAGCACCTTGAAAAAGCCAGCTTTGGTCACGTCAATAACAGGGGCTTTGCCGTCCTTGGCCTTCTCAGCCTGCTCCTTGGTCTTTTCCGACACTAGCGTCCACAGACGCTCCACGTTTACCGTGGGGCAGTGCGTGCGGTTCTGGAGCAAGTGGAAGTGGCGCATACCGACCTTACCAAAGTAACCAGGGTGAAACTTGTCCATCAAGATACGGTGATGATGTTGACCACCAGCATTACCACGACCACCGGGATGTTTGCGGTGCTTTCCGATACGACCGTGGCCAGCGCTGACGTGGCCACGTTTCTTGCGGTTCTTGGAAAAACGGGACGGCTACGCAGGCACAAGCATACATAACACACGGCCTGTCATTTTCACATTCTCAATTGAAAGAAAGAATGGCAAGAGCAGCAGCATTAGAGGAGAGGTAGAGGATGGATAACATGACACGACCTAGTGTTGCTGACTGAATGGTCATTGGGGGGCTATCCATATCGACAAAGCTCCCATGTGGTTCATGTATGTCACTCTCTTACTTTTCATCTGTTATTTGCTACTGCTATTGTCTTTATTGACGCTAAACAAAGAAGAAACTCGGTCTTACCATATTAACTTGGTGATCAGCAAATGCGAATGCACAAGGGCATCGATCGGCCGCAATAAATGGTTGGCTCGTTGGCTCCTGAGCGATAGCATACAATTATCAAGTTTATTAAAACACTTACAAATAGTAAGAGTTGTAAATTAGAAAGTAAGGTTTGCCTACAAACGCACGGTCTTTTGAACCGGTCCAATAAGCTGAACCGGTTGACTATATAATTAGCTATTTATCTTCTATCGGTATTCTACCGGTACCTCGCGATAAGGTTCGCTATCGTAAATGATGAGTGATCAAAAGGTATCGACCACTGAAACCTGTCTAATTGCATAAACCACAATCTTCCACCCAAGGTCATGGAGCTCGCGGCCGAGAATGCGACGTTACGCGAGGCATTACATGAGCTACAGGAGCGCTATGAGCGTCTCGATTTGTCAACGACCAAGAAGATTCATGATTTGACGGACGAGAATGAGTTATTAGCTGAAGCGAACCGTCTATTGCTTGAAAAACAGGCTCAGATTTCTTTCGTATCTTCCACAGAAAACGTTCCAAGTCCTTTTCAAGTACCGGACGAGCTTCTATTGCCCGGTCCAGAGCTGACAATTCGCCCACTTGTGACACTTGATAATGTGCACACGTTTGGGAATTTATTAAGTGTCAGTGCACATGCTACGAGGCCTGAGATTGTCATTACGGGAGGAGCAGACAAGTGCATTAGTGTGCACGACTGGAAGACAGAGAAGAAGCTTTGTGTGCTTGAAACGAGTGGCCCAGTCTTGTCATTAGCTTTCAATCCAAAAACAGAGTATGCAGACTATTTTGTGGCTGCAGGGATGGATGCCAAGCATGCACTCTATCGGTTGATACAGGAAAATGAAGAGAAGTGGCACATTCAAATGCTATGGCAATTCCATGATCATAATCGACATGGAGCTTTTAAACTAGCTTGGAGTGCATCGGGACACCTGTTTGCTACAGGCTCTAGTGACAAGTCGCTGAATATATATCAGTGTTCAGGCTTAGTGGGAAGAGGACAAACAGGAGCTGAAGTGTGTGAAAAGATCAAGTCATTCTACTTTAATGGGACGGTCGAGGCCATTGTGTTTGCTCCAGACACAATGTCCGAGACGGATGATGACAAGCGCTCTCATGAAGTGCTGGTGATTGCTGTGCGAGACGACTGCTATGTGCATTATGTCAATTGTTTAACATTCGAAAAGGAGAGGTAAGAAAGAGATGCGCATCGACTGCTGATAGGAGACTGACTTGTCAATTGTGGGTTTATGCAAATTTGCCTAGAGTTAACATGAACTCAGACGGCATTGAGCACGTGTCTTACACGATTATGGACCTGAGCCTATCGCCCAGTGGCAAATATCTGCTCGCGGCCACGGACGCGAACCTAAACTTCATCTTCTCTGTACGTTGTGGAGACAATGGACTACATATTGTCCATATCTTGAGTGATTCTCACCGTGGTAGTGCGCTGTATGAATGCAGGTCAAGCAGAATGTGGTACTGCGTAGCCTCTATGGACACCAGGCTGGCCCATACAGCCAACCGCGCGCAGCTTGGCATCCATCGGAAAAGTATGTGATCTCCAACAATGAAGAAAACGGAGCCATCTTTGTGTGGTCCGTTGCTTCGGAGCGTGTCGTGGAGACGCTTGACGCCCACAAAGGTTTAGTGAGAGACCTCGTGTGCCCTGTCACTCTACCTTCGACCGGTTCACCAATGATGATAACCGTGTCGTACGATAAGCGAATGAAAGTGTGGGAACTACCGCTCGCGAAATTATATAAGTGAGCAGGGTAGAAAGCGCGTAGTCGTTACGAGAAGTTGAATTGAGCGAATACGTTTTTGAGATATCGGACCTTTTTTCCAAAGTGGCGTATTGTCGTAGTATTCTAATGGTCTAGCTCGGCTTGATCAATGCGATCATGCTTCTATTCCTTGTCGTTCTACTGGCATTCTTGTCTGTCTTCTTTCGATTGCTCACCTGCTGCCTAGAGCAAACAAACTTTTAGCTCACAGAACGAAACAGATAGCAATACTTTTGAGCAAAACACTGAATAACACGTGCGTCTCCTAGTTGTTGACCGTTATGGAGATGACTTCACCGCACCATCTCCTTAATATCGGTTGCGAGCTTTCAAGATGCACTTATGGTTGACGCGCACGTCTCAAGTCCACATCATGTTGTATTACAAACAGTAAAAGTAAAAGGAGGAGCCACGATCAACTGTTTGCCTTACTCGCCTTGTTTCGTGGAGCTGCTCCATCTCGACTTCTAAAGACTCTTTCTCTCACACAACCAACGCGTTCATATGCCGGACATTATACGCTTCTTGCACGGCTTGCTTAAGCGACTCGACTTCCTGCCGAGTCATGCCCCCACCACCTTCGCCAACATTTTTCTGGGAGAAATTTTGGCATCGACGGCGTTCATTTCTCGGCTTTCGCTCTCTTTGTAGAAACAACATTTGCAATAAAGGGTAGTAGTCAACTCGGGGTCATGGTGTCTCAAACGAATGTCAAAGGACGATGCCATCGTGATGTCAACAGACATGACATATGACACATGGAAGCTTAGAGCTTCACTTCTGCCACTAGGACAAGCGGTATATTTTCTTCATGCAAGACTATCACTTGCACGCTTTAGAGCGTAAGTATGACAAAAAAATCGACGAACTCGTCAGGAACGTCGAGTGGACTGCATTCTTTACCTCGTCAGCTAATTCTCTGTTAGCGCCATCTTGATCAAAGTTTACGAGACGAGATGTAGAAAAGTAGTGCATTATATCAACCTTCTTCGCTTAAGCCGTACAGAGATTCTCCTTCCATGCCGACAAATCATAGCAACGAACGGCTAAACACGAGATGGACAGGGTTTTTGTGTGAATCACCGTTGATGGATTCGCTACAGACGGCGAACCAACTCTATGCGACCGTTCTACCGAACCCGAAAATACTATCAACATTGCTGCTGGCTTTCCGTCAGCGTTGAATATTTGGCAGACTTTGCAGCGAAGAAGCAACCAGCAAAGCTATCTTTGTCTCGATGCAGGTATTCCAGTGTTGTGCGTGATAGAATGTTTGCTAGATACTCGTACTGATGGCACGGGGTATCTTCCATCTTACGTATGTAGTGAATACGACTGGGTATCCAAGCTTCTAGACATAGGAGCCTGATATGACTGAAGAAGGCCGTATATGTCCAAGGTGATCAGCTCGATGGAAAAAGAGCGTCAGTGGAGTAGGTCGTGGTGACCAGATACGATTTTAATCCGAGTAAGAGCTTTCATAGACCTCAATGACATAGCAGCAACATTGATGCGCTCACATACGTTTATGATGTAATTAGAGCAAAGTGCCCTCAGCCTCAACTATGCGCGGCCAAGCTGCATTTGTGATTAGCTTAGCTCGATTATGCTGGAGCTCATAGCATGCAGTGTCTCATTTTTCAGTCAATAACAGTACCTTCGCCTCAGGCTACAAGCGCTTTTGCGACTACCCGAAGCAATCTGAAGTATGAGCTTCTTCGATGCTATGCTTTATTTTTGGGCAATGGTGCCTGTCAAGTGATTAACTTTGCTTGATCCGATTGGAGTTATACACGAGATTTGCGGCTGCTTTCAATACTGCTTTGGGAACAAATGTCTTGCATAGTTCACGTAAAGGTGACATGGTACTGCCTTTAAAATATGCCGGTATCGACGCTGTCTCAGAGGGCTCAATTGGCTGAAGTGACTGCAGAACAGAAGTATTATCGACTTAAGTCGCTAGGGCTACCTGTTTTGGATGCTACAGCAGAACAGGTAACTTAGCTGAGTCAATTTGCGCTGAGAATGTGCCCGTTCTTCTAGCCCAACTTCCATCTTGTATTCGGAGAGCAGAGCGGAGGTACCAGATCCAGTGGCTGTCGCTGGATCTGGCACCTCCATTTTGATATTTTCCATGGGGTCACTCCATGAATACTTCAGCGCTGAGCGATATCGTGGGTGTGATCCAGGAGACGCAGTACTGTCAGCGATGGAGAACAGACGGTGTTGACATGAAGCTCTACTGCTGACCATTCTCAGTACGCGTGTTATTACGCGCCTATAATCCGCGTACTGATGAGAATGGTCAGCAACGTTTGTCTTCTTTTTTAAATCGTCAAAATCGATCCACCATTTACGATTGAGATACCGAAATGAACACTTCGTACACGCTTAGCACCCGCACATCAGCTCGAAACCATCTTGACGTCGACGGCACGATGGTAATGGATTCTCAACCCTGGTTTTCACTTTCGCGTGAATTAGTGTCGTACATTGCACTGCCAGATGCACTCTACAGGCTGCAGAGTCTCAATCCAGTCCGATACGCATCAAAGTATCCATGATACTCACAATATCCGCCGAAATAATTTACAATCCTTCGAAGGCCATGCGTTGATCACACGAGTCACTTGCTAGTTTACGACCTCCAAGCGCCTTACCCGTCTGTATCAACAGCACAGCAGTTATTCCCGCGCTTTGTGCAAGAAATGGATAGTTCTTTGCTGTCTTGATTGTGAGCCAGAATTGCTCCTTATACGCGTTTTTTGTCCGCAAATTGTTAATAAGCTACATTTCAAGCATGAACCTTTTCATATTGTCATTCTCGTTGCAGTCATTGTCGCTTCGACCGGAAACGACGTGCCCGTGGGCTATCGTCCACGGGCACGTCCGTTCCCGGGCGCAATGACGATTAATAAGTCCCAGGGACAAACGCTGCAGAGGATTGGCATTAGGACGGAATATCTACGGGTACGGCGTTCGGGCATTACGCAATGACGATTAACAAGTCCCAGTGACAGACGCTGCAGAGGGTCGACACAAGTCGTGCAAGAGACGTGCTCTCGCATGGAAAATTTTACGCTGCCTTCTCACGAGCAACGGCATGTCGGTACTTTTAGAGGCAAAATCCGTGATGGGTCGACTGATGCACAATGCTGTACATAGCCCAGCGCTGCGTTAAGGATGTCTATATACCCAGTAAATAAAATGTCCGTCGGAACGACGGGCACACATCCTAGTATTATTATAATTACTTGCGTAAAGTTGCAGCCTAGTCTATATAGTGTAGTTAATATATAAGGTTTTTATTGAACCATGCAAATGCAAGCAACGTTTGCTGTTGAGTAATTTTTACTGAGGTATTCTTAATGGTTGTCAATGGATAAGTTCTTAGCGCCTTTCACAACTATTTTCTTCTCAGCACGGCTCACTAACAGTAAGCGCCGCCAGGTCCATGTATATTCACATTGTTGAAGCAATTGTGTAGCATTGAACACTTTTGAATATTGCATGCTTCGCCCTTATGCAAGAACTACTGACAAATACCAGCAAGCTTTTGATCGATTGTCACCTCATTAAACTTAGTTCCAAGTCATTACTCACAGATGTGATTTGTACCAGTATCGTAGTGATAGGCACGTAAAGCAAGAATCGTTCTTCAACCTCAACAGGCTAATAATAAGTTTGTACAGTATACGCGAAAAAGTAGTTAATTGCTCAAGAATGGCGACACCTTCAAAAAAGCTGGTCAATAGTTCTTCTGACTAAAAAATCTAAGTTGAACATCATTATGTAAGGACGATACCGGCAGCACACGCAATTCCGAGTTGCACTCGAGGTTATTAGGTTTCTTTGGATAGTGATACTTATCAAAACACGAGAACCGCAGTGCGCTTTCTTTTTTTCTGCCGTACTTTGATGTAGACAGGGCGCGAGCCGCTTCGTCGACGCGTAAACTATGACTTCTTTTCCGACATCTCATTAACTAGAGACACTTGCATTTTATTAGTGTCTGCACCTTCTATCGAGGATGACGCCACACATACATAAAAGAAACAGGATATCTACGTACAGCTCAGTGCCGTCATATAACAAACAGGACTATCGCATTAAACACCATACCGCTAGGAATTACACATTTCTATCAAACATACGGCTTCGTCCCTCAGAAAAACTTGTATCCTCAAAATCGCGTAGATTATCATCAAAATATCGAATCGAGGACTCGTAACCGCTTGGAAGGTAATTTTCAGCAGTGCTCTCAATGTTGCCGTTGAGAATACAAGTTAACACGACGACAAGAATTGGATCTGACCATAACATAAGCAACAAAGAGAGTCAAATCGAAGCAGCGTCTCTGTCAGAAAAAGAGCAAATCTGGAAAAATATTCCTGTGTCGAGTCCCTTTTTCTGAACAAAAGACAGTGTGATGTTTTGGTTGAATTTCGATGCGATACTTACTGTGAGCTCCGAGAGTGGAAGGAGCCCTTGGCCTTTGCTTTCTTCGAAGCCCTCCCTTCGCCTTCGAGCATGCAAGCATTTGAAGCTCATTCCTCAATTTGCCAACTTCCGCAAATAACGTTTGCTTCATTGGAAGCCCATATCCAATACTACCAACCACCTCAAGCTTTTTTTTGCAAGTATGCAACTTTCACGCATCATTGCTCACGTCGCACTCGTTGCAGCGATTGCCGCTCCAGCTGTGTCACCCACTGATGCCGCCTCGGGCTGGATGACTCCGAGCAGAAACACCAACGATGCCAAGACAGCTCCCTTACACGTCGTGTCACTTACCGTACTCGCCGTGTCACCTCCCGTACCCGTCGTGACACCTCCCGTACCCGTCGTGACACCTCCCGTACCCGTCGTGGCACTTCCTCCACCCTCATTGACACCTCGTACACCCCGTGTGACACAACCTGCATCCGCTGTGTCACATCTTGTACCCCCTGCAATAAGGGAAAAGTCATCTTCCGATTTTCCAAAGACCCCGATTATGGAGAAGCCACCTACACTTTGGACGACAAATGGTAATCCTTCACTAGCGTAAGGTACACAATACAAACGATCCTGTTAAAAAAAGTACGCAACTCAACGATGAATGCATGCCGTGTGCCGAAGCTACATACGAAGTGTGTTCTTAACAATATTTTTTTTTGAATTCCCACTTCTATTTTTAAACTGTTTCTTGCACAAACATGACGTCAATTGGAAATGAATTGCTAGTAAGTGAGGCCTCAATACCATGCGCCTTTGTAAATTCCGTAATGATGCGACAGGTATGAAGTACCATTTAAGACCTGCCCGTTAAGTATTGCATACCTAACGGGTACGTGTAACAATTAGCCCGTTTTAGGTAAAATCCATTTTATGACACTTAGTATTCTGCCTGCAATTTTTCCTGGCGAACCCTGCTAACTCATTCAAGCAGGAACTGTAGTGGAATTACTTTTGCTACCCACCCTCAATAAAGCAGCTATTTGTGTAAATTGTCAATGCGCTGTCTCTATCAAAACTGGATTTTGCATAGAGACAGCCAAGCTTGAGCATGTGCCGCAAGTCGCTCCACATCGTGTCGTAGTGCAAACGACGCCGTCAAGTTGGCCGCTGTTTATCACTTGCATGACTCTGCCATCACCGCCGCCGTAGCTGTGGCAATCGAGCGGATCGCACCGTTCGAGGTCACGCCACTCATTTGCTCCGAGGGTTCTCAAAATCTCCAGTGTTCCTGTCGTTCCCGGCCTACTGTTCTCGACGCTCCGCTGACGATGGCTGCACACATGACAAACGGAAGGAACAGTAATGTTACCAGAAAAGTAACAGCTCAGCACTAGGTGAGAGCAAAAGTCGGCAGGGTGTGCGTTTGCTAAACACTCTGTACTTCTCAATATCTTCCAGATGAAAATGAGCAGGGTTTGTGACGTTAAAGCAAATGTCCAAACATTTGGCGTATTTTCCCTTCTTCAGGTGCACCTTACAAAAGCAAGGCCATTTTTCTTAACACGGAAAGATTCCGTGGAGACGGCAGGAGCCACGAGTTCAAATTGGGCAACTTGGATCGGAGCATAACGCGGTGATCGACGATTGGAACACACAGGATGAGAACGTCGTCAATATTGTAACTGCGTTACTATTCACTGCATTATTACGGAATTTACAAAGACGTATGGTATTGAGGCCTCACTTACTAGCAATTCATTTCCAATTGACGTCATGTTTGTGCAAGAAACAGTTTAAGAATAGAATTAAGGAATTCAAAAAAGCTATTGTTAAGAGCACACTTCGTATGCGACTTCGGCACACGCATGCAATCATCGTGAAGCTGCGCAAACTTAGACAGGACAGTCCACCTTACGCAGTGAAGGATTGCCCTTCGTCATCGAATTCGTAGATGGCTTCTCCATGTTCGGGATCTCCGGAACACCTTGATCATTCTGATCATAGACATTTTTCTTCTCCGACTGCTCCTTTACGTCTTCCTGACTGTTCTCCTTCTTCTCCTTCTCCTGCTGCTCCTTCGTCTCCTTCGCCTGCTGCTCCTTCGTCTCCTTCTCCTGCTGCTCCTTCGTCTCCTTCTCCTGCTGCTCCTTCGTCTCCTTCTCCTGCTGCTCCTTTGTCTCCTTCTCTTGCTGCTCCTTCGTCTCCTTCTCTTGCTGCTCCTTCGTCTCCTTCTCTTGCTGCTTCTTTGACTCTTTCTCTTGCTGCTTCTTTGACTCTTTCTCTTGCTGCTCCTTCGTCGCCTTCTCCTGCTGCTCCTTCTTCTCCTTCTCCTGCTGCTCCTTCTTCTCCTTCTCTTGCTGTTCCTTCTTTTCTTTCTCCTGCTGCTCCTTCTTCTCCTTCTCCTGCTGCTCACTCTTCTCTTTCTCCTGCTGCTTCTTTTTCTCCTTCTCCTGCTGCTCCTTATTCTCCTTCTCCTGCTGTTCTTTTTTGTCGTCCTGACCGTTCTCCTTCTTCGTATCCTCCTGACCAACCTGACCATTCTGATCATAGATATTCGTCTTCTCCGCCTGCTCCTTGTCGACCTCCTGACCGTTATCCTTCTTCTCCTTCTCCTGCTGCTCCTTCTTCTCTTTCTCCTGCTGCTCTTTCTTCTCCTTCTCCTGCTGCTCTTTCTTCTCCTTCTCTTGCTGTTCCTTCTTTTCTTTCTCCTGCTGCTCCTTCTTCTCCTTCTCCTGCTGCTCACTCTTCTCTTTCTCCTGCTGCTCCTTTTTCTCCTTCTCCTGCTGCTCCTTTTTCTCCTTCTCCTGCTGCTCCTTATTCTCCTTCTCCTGCTGTTCTTTTTTGTCGTCCTGACCGTTCTCCTTCTTCGTATCCTCCTGACCAACCTGACCATTCTGATCATAGATATTCGTCTTCTCCGCCTGCTCCTTGTCGACCTCCTGACCGTTATCCTTCTTCTCCTTCTCCTGCTGCTCCTTCTTCTCCTTCTCCTGCTGCTCCTTCTTCTCCTTCTCCTGCTGCTCCTTCTTCTCCTTCTCCTGCTGCTCCTTCTTCTCCTTCTCCTGCTGCTCCTTCTTCTCCTTCTCCTGCTGCTCCTTTTTCTCTTTCTCCTGCTGCTCTTTCTTCTCCGTCTCCTGCTTCTCCTCCCCAGTGTTGCCGCCCTGGCCATTCTGTGCGTTAACGGACTGGGTTGCAGGGACCTCCTGCTCGTCCGACTTGTAAGCGCCCTGGTTGTTTTGGTCGTATATATTCTGCTCGGCGTTCCCTTCAATCTGGTTGGGAGCACCGAAACCACCGCCTTCACCCAGTTTGCGCTGCGTGGTCTCTGCGACGCTGTGTGTAGCGACATCGTTGGTGTTTCTGCTCGGAGTCATCCAGCCCGAGGCGGCATCAGTGGTCGACACAGCTGAAGCGGCAATTGCTGCAGCGAGTGCGACGTGAGCAATGATGCGTGAAAGTTGCATACTTGCAATAAAAAGCTTGAGGTGGTTGGTAGTATTGGATATGGGCTTCCAATGAAGCAAACGTTATTTGCGGAAGTTGGCAAATTGAGGAATGAGCTTCAAATGCTTGCATGCTCGAAGGCGAAGGGAGGGCTTGGAAAGAAAGCAAAGGCCAAGGGCTCCTTTTACTCTCGGAGCTCACAGTAAGTATCGCATCGAAATTCAACCAAACATCACACTGTCTTTTGTTCAAAAAAGGGGCTCGTCGTCTCGACGCAGGAATGTTTTCCAGATTTGCTCTTTTTCTGACAGAGACGCTGCTTCGATTTGACTCTCTTCTTTTGCTTTTGGTATGGTCAGATACAATACTTGTCGTCGTGTTAACTTGCATTCTCAAGGGAAACATTGGGAGCACTTCTGGAAATTACATTCCAAGCAGTTACGAGTCCTCGATTCGATATTTTGATGATAATCTACGCGATTTTGAGGATACAAGTTTTTCTGAGGAGACGAAGCGGTATGTTGCGTTAAGATTGTGAGAGATGTGTAATTCCTGGCGATCGGGTGTTGATGCGATAGTCCTGTTTGTTATGTGACGACACTGAGCGGTACGTAGACACCCTGGTTCTTTTATGTCTGTGTGGCGTTGCGGTGCAGTCTCTACGGACGTCCCAGATGGAAGGTGCATGTGGCAAGTGTCTCTGATTGATGAGGCTCCTACACTTGCAGATACTTGGAATGAACCGTTCCGCAATGAACGAGTGTTGCTACCTCAATTGTGGTCTGCAATCGTGGGAGCCGCACCGGCTGCCTCTTCGTTAGGATTACATGCTTCTCGCTTAATTGTGCAACATGCATTGAAATGGAAGGCCGATCGCTTGTTGTAACGGCTCTATGTAAAGGCTCTGCGAAGCTGCTCGCCCTCTCTACGTTTCTACCCAAATTTTGCCTGAGCTTGGGATTTGATGGCCTGCTATACGATGTACGACGTTTCTCGTCACTTCGTAAGATTTGTTGATGCACCTATCATATGAAGGTACAGAGCTTCCTCCATTAAGTAATATATATAACTTAACAGAGGCTACAACTTATCGAGGGTTGTACATAAGAGAAATCTAATAATTTATATAATAACTAGAATGTTCACCCGTCGTTCCGACGGACATGGTTTTGAGCTATTAATACATATATAGGGATGTTCCCGTCGTTTCGACCGATAGGTGCACAAATTTAACGCTGATCGTATATTGACTTAGGTAATTGATTAGTTATAAAGGTATGTGTATGAAGGTTAATGCGTACCTGTCGTTTCGAAAGTTAGGGTGTTCTTCGACAAACATAATGATATTTCACCAGGCTTGCCCTTCCAATTGGATTGGTACGTATTTTAACGGCGACGCATCTAATACACGGATGCACAGTTCAAACCCACCTCCATTATACTTGAGGATTTGTCGGTCGTGGGTATCGAACCCGTGACCTCCCGGTCCCGAAGTGAGTGGTAAACCAGTACACCGCAGGGTCGGTATAATATCATTCATACTTATCAATTTTTGACAAATATGGTCTGCCTTTAACCTGTAAACCCATCAACATACGTTCGATAATTAAATGGACTTAGGGTATGAAGGCAATGTGTACTCGTCTATTCGTCAATTTTTCATTTTATCACCCGTCATTCCAACGGTACGAAGTTGTATATACAGGCTATTTAAGCGCAACAAACTGCTAGAATGTTTACTCGTCGTTCTGACTGTGCATATTAGATTATATAGGCACCTTAAGCGCAGTGATTTGCTTGAGTGCTCACCCGTTAACATGCGTGCAAAACTTACGCTAATAGTATATGGGCAACCCTAACGCAGCGTTTCGTTAGGGCATTCACCGGTCGTTCCGACAGTGCGAAATAATATATATATGCATCATTTACTTAAAATATTGGGTCGGCTATGGTAAAGTAATGGGTATGGAATTCAATGTGTACCCGTCGTTCCGTGCATTTTCCATTTAATTATATAGCATGATATAGCATGATGGACGGAGTTTTCATATAAATTTTATTATACAAATTTTAGTCATGATACCTATGTCTATGAATGGATGTCCGACGAATTATTGCTATACCTGATACATATTACTAATTAAAAATATAAGTGATGGAAACCTGCTTACGTTATTGTAAGAGTGTTCACCCATCATTGCGACGGAAAGGTCCGTGCGGACCTTAAATATAGAATAAATCAAATGAAAAGGCCCGAATGTTGGTGTGCCAATCAGCTTTTTTCACGCTACTTTCAGCCTGTATGCAGCTTTTTTGATATTAAGGTCTAGGGTCTTAATCCGTTGTTCCGACATATGGATGCGCAAATTTTACGCTGATAATATATTGGCCCACCATTTTACCTTATTATATATCCAGTTTACTCAAGTAAATTAATATAGTTGATAGTCAATGAGTAAGAAGAGCAAAATGTACCTGTCGTTCCAAAGGTCAATTTGTACCCGTCGTTCCGACGGACATGGTGCGCGAAGCCTACTTTTGACATTCGTACCCATCTTTTTATTTTACAACATCTAGTTGATTTAGGAATCTAAACGAGTAAGACACAATACTTCACCTTTTGTAACTGATTCCAATTCAACCTGATGACAACGCTTCATTTTGCCAATGCCAAGGTTTAAAGTATATATGAGGACTAATGTAAC